GACCTCATGTTTCTATTTTTGTCTAGCACGTAACCATATCGACCCCATGTTTCTATTTTTGTCTAGCACGTAACCATATCGACCTCATGTTTCTATTTTTGTCTAGCACGTAACCATATCGACCTCATGTTTCTATTTTTGTCTAGCACGTAACCATATCGACCTCATGTTTCTATTTTTGTCTAGCACGTAACCATATCGACCTCATGTTTCTATTTTTGTCTAGCACGTAACCATATCGACCTCATGTTTCTATTTTTGTCTAGCACGTAACCATATCGACCTCATGTTTCTATTTTTGTCTAGCACGTAACCATATCGACCCCATGTTTCTATTTTTGTCTAGCACGTAACCATATCGACCTCATGTTTCTATTTTTGTCTAGCACGTAACCATATCGACCTCATGTTTCTATTTTTGTCTAGCACGTAACCATATCGACCTCATGTTTCTATTTTTGTCTAGCACGTAACCATATCGACCCCATGTTTCTATTTTTGTCTAGCACGTAACCATATCGACCTCATGTTTCTATTTTTGTCTAGCACGTAACCATATCGACCTCATGTTTCTATTTTTGTCTAGCACGTAACCATATCGACCCCATGTTTCTATTTTTGTCTAGCACGTAACCATATCGACCTCATGTTTCTATTTTTGTCTAGCACGTAACCATATCGACCTCATGTTTCTATTTTTGTCTAGCACGTAACCATATCGACCTCATGTTTCTATTTTTGTCTAGCACGTAACCATATCGACCCCATGTTTCTATTTTTGTCTAGCACGTAACCATATCGACCTCATGTTTCTATTTTTGTCTAGCACGTAACCATATCGACCTCATGTTTCTATTTTTGTCTAGCACGTAACCATATCGACCCCATGTTTCTATTTTTGTCTAGCACGTAACCATATCGACCTCATGTTTCTATTTTTGTCTAGCACGTAACCATATCGACCTCATGTTTCTATTTTTGTCTAGCACGTAACCATATCGACCTCATGTTTCTATTTTTGTCTAGCACGTAACCATATCGACCTCATGTTTCTATTTTTGTCTAGCACGTAACCATATCGACCCCATGTTTCTATTTTTGTCTAGCACGTAACCATATCGACCTCATGTTTCTATTTTTGTCTAGCACGTAACCATATCGACCTCATGTTTCTATTTTTGTCTAGCACGTAACCATATCGACCTCATGTTTCTATTTTTGTCTAGCACGTAACCATATCGACCCCATGTTTCTATTTTTGTCTAGCACGTAACCATATCGACCTCATGTTTCTATTTTTGTCTAGCACGTAACCATATCGACCTCATGTTTCTATTTTTGTCTAGCACGTAACCATATCGACCTCATGTTTCTATTTTTGTCTAGCACGTAACCATATCGACCTCATGTTTCTATTTTTGTCTAGCACGTAACCATATCGACCCCATGTTTCTATTTTTGTCTAGCACGTAACCATATCGACCTCATGTTTCTATTTTTGTCTAGCACGTAACCATATCGACCTCATTTTTCTAAATTTATATCTGGATATTTCCATGTGATATACATATATGTTTATTTTTACATTTTGACTGAATTTTATTTTATTGTTTTGCTAAAATATACATTTTGTTATATTGTTATTGAAAGCAAAGTTATATTTTTGTTTCAAAAAAAGGACAAGTAGATAAACACTGATTTCTGATATTTAAGTGGTGAAAATGTAAAAGTTAAAGAATGGACATTAAATGACCAACACAGACTAAATACACTGAACTTACAAAACCTATATATTACGATATTGGATCAGTATCAAAATGCATTATGAATTTATCAACAAGGACCAAAGAAAATATCTTTTATTATGATGCCGGTCATTAATCTAGGTTAGTATATATGTTATTACCGATTTAATACGCATTGACAAAATCACCATGTTAGACAGTCGTGAGCGTTAAAGTCAACTTATCTTGGACCCCCCGCAGAGTCGGAGTTTACTTCAATGTTGCTTGGTAAATGATAACTGATATTGATGAATGATACCAGGAGCTATTATAGTAAACATGACATTTGAAACAAGCTCCTGAGTATCGAATCAACTGCGACATACAGACCCCTTAGGTAGGGGAAACGGGGATGTTACTATCAGGAAAAGGAAAGATCACGATAAGAAAGTCGAAATCGTACCTTTTTCATCAAGCTTTGGTCATGATGTAAATAAAGGAAAGGGGCTGAAATACAGTAGTCCGTGGTGTCCTTGTTTACAATAAGACAAGTTCGGTTCAATCGGTCAACGATTTCAGACTTTTCATTTTTTTCTACCAGCCTAATGTTATAACCCTCATTTTGTTGTATCTCATCAACTTAACATAATTTTTCGTTTGTATTTGACATTAATAAACACTTTTCCCTCGTTGTTTCGTTCTGAATCCATCGATTTTGCATTAAGGGCTTATTCGTAAACATAGTTAGTTTAACATGTCAATACATCTTAATTTATGCATTCACATGAACCCTAACTCTGGTTTGTATGCACAGTTGTTTGCATATAAATGAATATTGCAAGGATTATTTCGTCATATATTCGATGTAATAATTATTTATTAAAGCTATCCTAAAATGCCACAATTTATAATTAAAATGCATTTTTAGAAAATGTCTGCATTTAAAAGAATTTATTTTGGGTTTGTCTTTTAATACGTGTCATTTTAGTTTTGAATTTCGACATTTAAAAGTCTCCAGACTCGATTAAAAATGTACATGACAGTTCCGTTAAAATAATCAGACATAACCAACTGGACACATGATTTTAAGACATCTAAACTCAGATCTTTGTTAGTTATTTGGTACTCTCTATTTTTGAACCAGCTAGGTTCATATGACAACGCCTTTCACAGATGAAAGGGGGACTCAAACGACGATTAAAACTGCCAGTACACTAAATTCCATAACGTGTCATGGGGTCAACGCATCACGTGCACTGGTTGTATCATTCTTGCAACATCCGAACCAGAGATGCACAGGAAGCTACGTAGACAAGTAGGAAGGATAGGAGGTAGGGAAGAGAATGATGTCGTTATTTGGATGACATTTCTATGATGGTTTCTCCACTGTACCCCAGGCAGAACAATATTCGGATTTTGCAACGGATCACATGCATAGTCGGCTTATTGACAAGGGAGCATATAGTACAACCGGTACTTCAAGGAACCAAACCTATTTGATTATCAGACTAGAAGACAATAAATGCTTGATTCGAATTGTAAGATTGAAAAATAAACTACCCCTTCATTCTACACAGATGACCGGGATTCAGTCCTCCAAATCATCTTAGCATTTAACTGTGTTCTCCTACCCGACAACCCCAGGGACAAGGTGGGGTGTATCCCTGAGATGGGTGCTACAGTGCGCGCGCGTGCTGATAAATGGAAGCAAAGTAATGATGTTACTGGAAGCATGACCCAGACGAAAAACACGCTAATAACTTATACACTTCCAGTAACTTCGACTCCAAACTTTATGATTTATGGTGAATTAGGTCAATATCCTCTTGAGATAGCTATCTCAATAATAAACATGTATTTAGAATTAACGGTAAAGTTACAGAAGAAGTGGACAATTTTAGCTATCTGGGTGTGACATTTAATTACAATGGTAGTTTTTTGAAATTTAAACGGAAGCTTTGTGAGCAAGCCCAAAAATCCTTTTTTTCTGTTTATTGTATGATAAAAAATCAACCTCTTCCAATAGACTTGCAATTTAAATTATTTCATACCCTAGTTAGTCCTATATTGTTACATATATGGATCTGAAATATGGGAATACGAAAATAACAAAATATTAGAACACACTCATTTGAAACTTTTAAGACGAATTTTATGATTTATGGTGAATTAGGTCAGTATCCTCTTGAGATAGCTGTTAAGTTGAGAATGATGACTTTTTATAACTCACTCTTAATGAATACCTCTTAACTTAATTGCCATATGTATAGATTAATGTTCAAACTTCAAGCCAATAATTTGTGTAAGTTTAATGGTTAGAATATATAAAAATGTGTTTTGATGAAGTCGGACAAAGTTCTACTTTTTATAAAACAGGAACCTATTAGTAAATATTATATTAAAAACACCGTCAAACAAATTTGTATTGATCAAATTTTACAAAGATGGCATGCAAACAATTAGGAAGAAACATGAACTTGAGCCTTATTTGACTCGCCTTTCTGAAAAAAACAGGTCAATATTATGCAAATTTAGATGTTCTAATATTAAATTGCTCCCTTTGAAACGGGTAGGTGGCATAATATTCAAAAACAAGACCGAAAATGCACTCTATGTAAAAATGTTCTAGGCGACGAATTTCATTATTTATTCAAATGTACAAATTTAATAATTGCAGAGCTTAGAGAAAAATATATTCCTCTGTATTATAGAAAAATTCCGTCTCAAATTAAAATGAGTGATCTGTTGTCATTTTATAACACGACAGTATTAAATGGAATTTGTCTTTTGTTGGAAAAAAATAACAAACTGTTGTAGTATGTATCATGATAACTGTTTTGTGAACTTGCTATCCATTTTGTCATCACGTGTGTATTATTATACTCTGATACCTCATGTTGTACATTTTAATGTATCTGAGGAAAAACAATAAACTTGTGAAGCTAGTGGAAACCAACTGTCGTACTACGAGATAAGGGTAGCGATGGCATAGACAGCGTGGGGATACACTTACCACGCGTGCAGGTGAATCAATTCACAGGGGCTATCGTCGGACATACAGCATACTAGTCTTACAAGACGACTACATACGTTTTATGCACGTCTGTAATTGCATTACACGCATGTTAATATAATAGTATAAACTGGCACGCGAGTAACCTAAGCTGACACAAAAGTTGAACTTTGATTCATAAACCCTCTATAGCAGTCACATATAACTATGTATGATACAAGTGACTACAGTGTGGAGTCAGCGAAGCTTGTCCGATGGCCGTGTATATAAAATACCTGTGTGTCAGGGCTACACATACACACTTACAGCCCCGCAAGCTTTAATAAAACTTCCGGGTTGTCCCTCATGTGCATACATATACCAAAGATGGGCTAGTCGTCCTAATAGGGTTGTTTTTAAGCTGAGAACGGGAAATATGTCATAGCTGTGTACTCGAAATGATAGCCAGCGCGTTATAAAGGTCTTAATCATGAAGTGCCGGTTGAGTCAAAAGCGGGACAGACCATCATCACTTGCACATCTCACTCCAATGGACGGATTTACAACAAACACAGTTGTTCGGATGTGTGAAACGCGTTACTGAGATAACTTTCGTACATTTTATATACCAGTGTTTAAAGTGGAGACGGTGATCCAGGTGTTTCGTGAAAAATGGGAAATAATTCATTGCTGATCAGGGTAACACTCGCAGTGGTTGTTCATGTTCTGGGTATGATGACGTCATCAGAGGTAAGGTACTAATTGATTACAAGTGATTTAATTATGTAAATAAATGAATAGTGTTTTTGGAACAGATTTTATTAATAAGATTCAGTGGGGACGACACACTGTACTGAGATAGACAATCGTGTATGCATGGTTAGCTTGAGGGCAAATTCATATTCATATACATTTTTAATCTCTATACGTATTTTGAATGTTGGTGATCAGCTTTGAAAAGGAACTCAATCAAAAAAAAATCAAAATTCAAGAGGAATTGAGGAAAGGTGAATGATTAGAATAGAGACAAAAAAAGTAAGCGAAGACTAGAGGGGGTTAGATAGGGGGACAGGTTATTGTAAATAATGATAGAGTGAGTGTGGAGGGGGTTAAATAGGGGGACAGGTTATTATAAATAAGGGTAGAGGAAGTGTGGAGGGGGTTAGATAGGGGGCAGGTTATTATAAATAAGGCTAGCGTGAGTGTGGAGGGGGTAAGATAGGGGGCAGGATATTATAAATAAGGCTAGAGTAAGTGTTGAGGGGGCTAGATAGGGGGACAGGTTATTCTTAATAAGGCTAGTGTGAGTGTGGAGGGGGTTAGATAGGGGAAAAGGTTATTCTTAATAAGGCTAGAGTGAGTGTGGAGGGGGTTAGATAGGGGAAAAGGTTATTCTTAATAAGGCTAGAGTGAGTGTGGAGGGGGGTAGATAGGGGGACAGGTTATTCTTAATAAGGCTAGTGTGAGTGTGGGGGGGGTAAGATAGGGGGACAGGTTATTATAAATAAGGGTAGAGTAGGGGTTGAGGGGGTTAGATAGGGGGACAGGTTATTCTTAATAAGGCTAGAGTGAGTGTGGAGGGGGTTAAATAGGGGGACAGGTTATTATAAATAAGGCTAGCGTGAGTGTGGAGGGGGTAAGATAGGTGGACAAGTTATTATAAATAAGGCTAGAGTAAATGTTGAGGGGGTAAGATAGGGGGACAAGTTGTTATAAATAAGGCTAGAGTAAGTGTGGAGGGGGTAAGATAGGTGGACAAGTTATTATAAATAAGGCTAGAGTAAGTGTTGAGGGGGCTAGATAGGGGGACAGGTTATTGTAAATAATGATAGAGTGAGTGTGGATGGGGTTAAATAGGGGGACAGGTTATTATAAATAAGGCTAGACTGAGTGTGGGTAAAGTTAGAGTCACGAGAATCGTGGGAGCTGTAGAGGTGAAAGGCACGAGGGTAAAATAAAGGTAATATTTGAGGGTAATACAAAACACATGTAGATGAAGAGTTTCGTAAAATGGCGAAATATAGAGATACAAGGAACGAGGGTACATTGAAGGTCGGGTCAGTGAGGGTAATGTTACGACCGAGGTGAAAACGATAGGGTACGACTCGACAGAATGCGGGTAATGTGAACACTGAGGGGAATACGAGGCTCTGGAGTGAGTGTCGAGTGGGTAAGGTGAGGGTAAATGGGATGAGGATAGCGTGAAGCTCCCTATATGAAATGAGGGTAATGTTACGATCGAAGGGTAATTCCTGAGGGAAAGACGAGGCTCTAGATAGGGCGGGTTGCGTACCAAAGAATTGATGGTAAAAATGATGAAGATACTGTATGACGAGCTCGTGTTATATACACGTGACTGTATGAATTAGATCAACCATACGTTATTTACTTCCCTCAGTCTGGCACGGGGTCAGATTGTAGGTGGGATTAAAAGGCTTTCTCAATAATACGTAGCAAAAAGTTAAAAATAGAACCCACTCAATGTTACAGGTACTCTCGAACCAGGAAGTGGCCTGGTAAACCCAGTAAAAACCGATGAGTTGGTTATAAATCCCCATATTGTGATTTCTAACTAAAAGTATTTTCAAGGAACTGGATTTAAATATTCTGTTCAGCTTGTGGCATTATCCCTCTCAAATATATGTCCATTTTTTATTTTTCCTTTTATGTATTTAAAGTCTAAAATGTGATTTTTTGCTGCGAACGTATTCTATGACCAAAGGCAGGGTACAAATACAGTGGCGGATCCAGAGGGTGTGTTTTGGGCTTCAGGATAGGTATCTGGTATCCGCCACTGAAATAATTTATAAGTTTGCTTTATGAATATTCCTTATTCAGATTCGTTATGAGCCGAGAGATATACGTCCCATGGGGGCATATAGAATACAGGTTAGTTTGCCTGATAGGCGCAGATATATACATATATATATCATGCAGCGAAGGTGGTGATCAACAAATGAATGCGTAATTTAAAATCTGATACGACCAAAGAAAGGATAATTATTCTCAAATCGTAAGATAAGTGATCGACAGAATAGATTTACTCTTTGATTATAACCATCTGGCTTGTTTTTTCTAAGTTTTACGGTACCCAAACCTAACACTACCGCGTGACAAGCAGGGCCCAGTTGTTCAAACGGTGGTTAGGTTACTAACTGTTTAACGACATTTCAACCTGTAATACTTCGGTTAAAATATGAGGTGAAATCTCTTAATAGTGCGTGCAATTTTAATCTACTGAAATGTTTGCTTACTGGAAAGATAAATGTACACAAAAATAAAATGTAAGCTATTCGCTGATTAGGCTAATCACATTTTGTACAACAGCGCCCTGGTTGTTGTGAACAGCAAATGTATGGTTGTAAATATGTCATTTGTTTACCTGAAACTACAGGTTACATATTTTTTCTTTGATAGCAGGTAGTGTAAATAATCGTTTCAGTAACCACATCGATATGAAGCTATCAGATATTTATTTTATCTATCACCTGACAAATTGTGTAACATTGTTGGGTCAAAAAGGGTTATTTATTACTCTCACACAACCAATGTTTCCTCACTTCTGACCCATTGGATAACCCTGCTAGGAGTTGGTAAACATTTTTGGTTAAACAATCTGGACGTGATTTCATTAGTCATTTTATTATTTATGACGTCACGTAACAATGCTTTGCGACGTCATCTTCCATTGTGACGTCATGATTTACGGCAATTGTTTCCCCCATCGGAAGCCGACAAAGTGTATTTTCAAGGGAAACATATGGCTTTCCAGATAAAATATGAACGTTGTGGGAGAAAAACGACCCCAAACTCTTGATGGTAGGTTATCATGTTAACAAACCTCGTGCCTTTATACAATTTGATAATTAACGAAATCGAGTTAGATAAACATGATAACCAACTATCACTCGTTGGGGAACCTCCATTTAAATTATCAGTCTATAGGGATTTTTTTAATTATAGTCTATAAAGTCGAAGTTTGTAGATACAGATTTCAAAAATATCATAAAAAATTACCCATGGTTAATTATAATAGAAGAGCTTAGTTTGGAGGGGGTTGTGATGTGAGGCCCAGTAGATGGAACGATCAGGGGGGGGGGGGNGGGGGGGAGATGCCGCAAAGGTAACTGTTTGATCATCATGTGATGACCGAGTGAGATCATTGGATGTAGCCCTACGCCAATATCAGTGATATATACCGTATTTATAAGTTATAAACGATATGTTAGCTTAGAGCTACATCAAATAGTCGTATAATACGTATTCAGTATATATTTGATTAAAGGACCAGAAGAGAGTTCACCTAAATATGTTTTCGAAGGAGAGATAGAGTAAATATTCTTCAGTCGGAAGTGTTAATGCCGCAGAATGCATGGGCGTAGCTTCTGATCCTGATGGATTGAATATCTACAAACGAACGGGACTTCGATCAAGTACCATCGAATTTTATTAAATCAACAAAAAAATGCTATTGGCGTTGTAACTAAACTTAAATCATGTAACATACATTTCTCTATTGGCCTTTTGTAGACATGGCAAGCCAGAACAATCTTAGTTAATCTTATCAACAGCAAAACCCAGTGTTAAACACTTGATAGATTTGTTAGGTTGCCGCTTTTTATGTTTTCCGCTAGTTTACATATGATTGTATAGCTGAGGTTTCTTCTACTTCAGCGCATACCAACATAGCATTGTCTGTCTGAGGTATTATGTCCTAACAGAAGTCATACTTAAAGCGAATATATCATACACTATTTTCAGAAAATGTGTCTCAAAGCTTGCACCGATAATTGAAATTACCTACAAACAAATTAGATAATGATTGAAAACAATTTGGAAATAACTTTCACGCCGATACGCTTAATTATGTATCTCTCGTATAAGATTCAAAAAGATACAATATACAAAATATTTTAAATAGCGTCGTTATCAAAGCAACGTAAATTCAGTAGAGCTATCCTTACGATGTAAATGGTTTTGTACACGATGGGAATATTAAAATTTGAAATTAAAAAAATAATACTTATGAATATAACTTCATATATCATCCTGTTTACCTGTGTTTATCTCTTATCTAATCATGGAATTCCAATATATGAGTCGCTCTCAAATTGATATGTTGATTTATATCAATATCGATTACTGATAATGACGTCATCTCGTGTCGTCTGTCGCCTCAAACCAACACCACACCTGGTAATTGACTTACCTGGAATGCTGATTTGTAAAACCTGACATTTTTATGCAGGTGCAATTAGCGAATTCTGACAGCTTTACATGGTCATGCATTGATATATACTTTTCATATATTAAATACGTTAAACCTTTTACTGGGTGCATACGATATATCATGTTTGGTTTTCAGATTTCGAGAGAAAAATATCTAGTTCGAATATAACGTAATGTGGTTTACCTGTGGGAGGGGTCCTGATGACACCTGATTACACCTGTTGTTGAAAGTCTCGTAATAAACTAGTTCAAGTTCAAGTTTTTTTTATTTACCAAATGCAATAAAGCATATACAATGTAGGTTATGAAATTACATAGCACATGATTTATATTGTACAATACAGAAGATGGCGAAGGATAATTCCTTATCCACATTTAACATATATATTTTATATATATATTTTGAAAAAGAAACACAAAATTACATTATCGTAATGATAATAGGCTAGGAATACCGTATGTTATATCAGGGTATTTTGTTACAGGTATTCTAAATACAGGGTATTTTGTTACAGGTTTTC